GATACCGCTCTAAACATCTTCCAGACCGTGGCGACGGGGGTCTGCGGACCGATATGGGAAAGAAATCTTTTCCACGATTCCTTCTTTGCTTCTTTAATTATTGTCTTTGCGTCTTGCACTGCTGTTGAGTAATTCTTCTTGTTTGAGGGCGTTGGATGACGGTAGAAGAGTTTGCGCGATTTCCTCCTCGCGTGTACCGCCCGGGCACAGTCGGACGACCACCACGGACACCCTGGTCGGTGAGGGCGGGCCGACTGCCTCAGCGGAAAATGGCTCTTACAGTGCTCGATCATTGCAGTTGAGAAGGCCTGTTGGGATTCTTGTGGGGTGTTTCCCCTCGGGATTGATTTCTTTGAGAGTTCTCCCGACCATGCGGTCCACTCTCGGTCGTCATTCATGTGAGGAAGTGACCAGCGTGGGACAGTTTTTACCCTGATTACTTGACGGGGTCCGTATTGCAACAGTAGTGGTGTGTGGTCACTGCCCAGGTCCAGGCTGGGAGAAACTGAGTGTGTGAAGAAGGGGGCCGCCCCAAAGATTAGGTCTAACACTGAGCCCGTGCCCGTGTGTGGGTCGATGCGAGTGGGAGTGCCTGGGGTGTTGAGAAGCATGAGCGATGAATTGCTGATGACATTAAAAAGTGAGCCTCCTGCCCGGTTTTGTCTGGTATTTGGTGTGCTCCAGAGGGGGTGGTGGGCGTTGAAGTCCCCGCAGATGAGGTCACGGGGCCCGATGTAAGTGAAATAGTGTTCAAATTCAGTTTGTGTGATGGAGCAGCAGGGGTTGTAGCAGAGAAGGATTCTGGACCATGCCCCACAGTGGGCAATTTCCACAGCCAGGCACTGCATCTGGCCCCCCTCATAAGGATCCAAGGCCACGGCTCTCTGTAGCGTTTGGGCTCTCACCAGCAGGAGCAGCCCACCAAAACCGTCTGCTCTGTCCTGCCGGTAGGTCGTATAACCTGGGAAGCGAGGGTCGTGCCAATTTTGTAGGTGGGTTTCAGTGATGCAAATCACGGTGGGAGCCGCATGAGACAGAAACAACTTTAGTTCGGGCAGTTTAGAGTTGAGCCCCCGGGCATTCCAGAGGAGAAGGGAGTGTAGCTGCATTATGATGATAAGAATTGGCTAGTCAGTGAGGCTAAGAGAGGCTGTATTGCTGCTGCTAGTGGGTTGTCCAGAGAGGTTAGGTATTCCGTTAGAGCCTGCATACAACGTGCAAATATGGATTTGAAGAAGTTTGCAATTAGGTCCAGAAAGGTGGGTTCTTGTACATGTTCCTCTGGCGGGTTTGTTGCTGGGTGTGGCGAGAGATTTTGCGATAGCTGGGATAGGGCAGGGAGAGGATCCTGAGATTCCGACCAAGCTTCCCCTCTCAAGATGCTTAGGTATTCCTCCGTCATATGCGGGGGGGTGGGCGAGCCTGGGTTTTTTCTCTTTCGAGAGGGGACGTCTGGGAGGGGGGTGCGCTGCGCTGGGGTCAGCGGCGTTTGGGCATACGAGGAAGGCCTTGAAATGACTGCAGCAGTTGTGCGAGTTGGTGCGGAATTTGCTAGGTTTGCCTTAGATTGGGCTTCAGGAGTTGTCACTGGAGTGGGACTGTAATGGTTTTCGTTCGTTCTGTTTAATGGACTAGGCGTAAAGTTGCTGGGTAGAGAGAGAGATGCGTATTCCTCTGCCGCTTGCTCCCGTGTGATCTGTCTTGCTGCTACTCGGGTAGAAATTTCCTGAGCCTTACTGTAGAAGGGACAGCGAGGAGATGATGCTGGGTGAGGGCTTTTGCATGAAGCGCATCTTGGACTGTCAGCCTTACAGTTCTGTACAACATGATCGGTTGCTGAGCATCAGGCACAGACTACTCGTCTTCTACACGATATGGAGTCATGACCATACCTCTGGCAGCCGTAGCAGCGGGGCGGAGGCGCGAGGTAGGAGTGGACCGTAATATGGTGCCGCTATCTTCTCGTTCGCGCCCGTCAGTAAGTCGTTAGAAGCCGTCGAGTGAGGTCTGTGAAGATGGATAGTGTGATCACCTTCAACAACTCGAGTCTGTACGTCTTTTTTATACTCCATATTCTCGCCCTTAAAAATACAGCGTCGGGAACAACTAAACCCTGACTAATAAGGTCTTCTCTCCGTTTCAAAATACTCGTTTCTCTCTTCATTTTGTTGGAGTAACCATCGTGGGAAAACATTATACTTTAATTCTTATTTTTGGAATATTTCAAAGAATAATTGAATATCGTCTGGAATCCATTTTGTTGGGTTTTTCTTAGAAACATTATCGTTCAAACAAGCCATGATTCACTTGACCCAAGATACTTCACAGGAGCGGCACAGATACTCTCACCATGGCTGCATCAGCGCTACTAGCCACTTCTCCAGCCAAGATATCAACACATCGTTGTCTCTCTCGGCCGCGCCTCGGGCACTTGCCGGCGCATGCCTCTGAAGCGGCTGAAATACACGAGGCTATTAGCTTGGACAGTTCAAGCGCCGGATGAACTAGCGGCTAGTACTATCCCTGTGTACAGGCACCTATGATATCACGGATTGAGAGCACAGCCTAACTGCACTGCACACTTTCACTGTTTCCCCCAAGTATTAACCTTCATTCATATGCTTGATCCAACAAGTTGAAGTTTCAGAATTTAGAGGCAAAATATGTCAAAATTTTTTTCTTACGAAGGATAAATTGCAATTCCGAGTCTTTGGCAAATTGCAATAAAGTGCTATTGCGAGTCGTTAATATACAGTTATTTCTAAAATATGCGGTCTAAACGCACATCACGGAATGGTACAAAGAATAATATAATTTCTAGAAATTCTCTGAATTAAATTTAAGACATTCCCTAATTTAGAGGAGCCACAAATTATGAGTCATGTGATACAGATAATTCAATTCTAAAATGACCGTGAATAAATTAAATTCGGAAAATCATTTAAAGTTTCTTGCTTCGGAAGTAGCTCCTCGCAATTTTTTTAATATGCATAATTCAGCACGTGGAGTTAAAGGAACCCGAACACGAGATGAGAATTCGATTAAAATGTTAAAATTAAGTATGCAATCTTTACTCGCTTCTGCGAAGTTAATGTGATCGATGATCGTGGAAGGTAATGAGGCAAGTGAAACTTATCAACATTTCATTTCCAGAAAATTGTGATCATGGATAAATTTCGCCTTAAATATCAACACGATATTCATATTTACGCGGTCAAATCATTCATAGCCATGATCCGATCAACTGGCTACCTTATTGAATACAGAGTAGTCGGGAATTCAGTTAAAAGAAACTTGTAAAAAAATTAAACGGTACCTGACACATCGGAATGAAATCGGCTCTATAAATAAGACAAATACAAACATATAGTAATACCCCTACACAATTACAGGACGTATGTCTTCTCTATTATCGAAGTAGTGAACTACTGCTAGCGAGATTCATACGAATTTGTTGAGACCACGGCAAAGTAGTTAGCACATTTTGTTGCCTCGAATGATCTCCTTTTAAATAAATTTAAAAATGCCCACAGCTAAGTAGTGCAAATAGTTTAAAAACTAACGAAGTACTCGAGTCATTAGGCGCTAATGTTAAACTGCCCATAAGGCCCAAGATAATACTCGAAGGTCAAAAGGACGGTCGCATTGTTATTTTATTTTTTGTTTCTTAATTCAACGAATAAACAGGCTTATTTAAATATGAATCGAAATTTGGGATCATCGACTTTGATGATCTCTTTCTTCATGCGTATAGTCGGAAAGTTCTAGGAGGGCGAAGTCGGGGACACATGTCGGACTGTCGTGCTTCGAATGAACTATCATGTTCCCTTCCCTCAAGAACATAGCCTAAAATACTTCCGGACTATCACATTATTTAAAATCACCAACGATCAACGTGCGTGACCTACGGAAAGTCATGCTCGGTAAAATACAGTTTAGTACTTTATCGTTATCAAAGGAACTGTTTTGTGATCTATACACGACGCCTATGAAGAGGCTATATTTGCCTTTGAGAGAAAGTTCGCACCACACTGATTCCCTAGCTGATTGTTGCTCTGTAGACAACTTCGCTTGTTGAGCCCAATAAAGGGTTTTGACCCATAACGCTACACCACTATATAGCGCACTGCTCTTCGCCTATGTTGTGAAAACAATCATAACCTGGCAACTGAAACTCAACTGGCACAATGTTCCCACTTTAATTTTTAGGTAGTGTTTCTGTAATACAGATAATGTCAGGACACTCGCTCTCTAATAGGTTACCGTCAGTAGACGCAGGGTTTAGTAACAGGTTACCGTCAGTAGACGCAGGGTTAAGTAACAGGTTACCGTCAGTAGACGCAGGGTTAAGTAACAGGTTACCGTCAGTAGACGCAGGGTTAAGTAACGGGTTACCGTCAGTAGACGCAGGGTTAAGTAACAGGTTACCGTCAGCAGACGCAGGGTTACGTAACAGGTTACCGTCAGCAGACGCAGGGTTAAGTATCAGGTTACTGTTAGTGTACGGTAAAAATGACAGAGCAGTTTAAAATAAGTTATATAACAGAGACGCTCGTCTACATGATGTTTACGAACCCAGACCTAATCTTTTCTACTAACCGTTCTTCTGTAGTACACCAAACATACAAGTATTGATTTTAATAATAAATTATATATTTTCCTCTAACTTGGCAACTCAGCGCTCTTACCCCAAACTTCAATGGAGGAATGGAAATCAGCCTTTATTTATTTGGGGATTTAAGAATAATATTATAGCCACCTGTCCTAATCATCAGAAGGAATAAAACGACTAAGCGTGAGCCATATATTATCAAATTTATTTCTTCATAATTTTCCATAACATTTGACGACTTCGGGTCAGTGCACCATCATTTTGACTGAATGTAAGACAATAACACATATATTTCTTGATAATGTTGAACCTTGAGGGAAAATCATTATACGAATAATACATTTCTGTCCAAAATAAAACTTAAATGGAAGAATGACTTCAAGTTTTTAAGTTAACTTGGGGAAAGATTACGCGATGGCGGAACATTGTCGAGATATTAATTAACTATGGGCCTATGGTTAATAATTAATGAGTTGGGGTAATTTAAAAATTGAGCACATTCGGTTAATTTCGATTTATCGGCATAGTAGAACTTTTTTTTCACTCGCTTGAATTAATCAAAGACAAATACTCATTCGGTCTATCCCAAGACACCATTAATTTCTCATGACTTTGGAATGTTTGTTAAGTCTTTACATAGTAGAGAATAATTGACTAATCATTATAATAATAAAGATAATGATCAGTCATCATAGATGCCGTACAAGTTCGTACTCAGGAATAGTGATACGGTAATAGATAACAGGAATATTGATCATAGATAACAACACTGAACTGCCGACAAGCCTTCACCATCAGCTGCCGATGATATCTTCAACATTAATGATAGTGTTGCCCACTAGCACTGGTGGCCCCACTAGCACTGATGGCCCCACTAGCACTGATGGCTCACTAGCACTGATGGCCCTACTAGCACTGCTGGCCCCACTAGCACTGCTGGCCCCACTAGCACTGTAGGCCCAATAGCACTGATGGCCCCGCTAGCACTGATGGCCCCACAAGCACAGAAGGCCCACTAATATTGATGGTTCTTGACGAAGAGGCCCTGTTGGCCCGCGGCCCCAGAGACGGTGCCTGCCGCGTACTGACCCAGGCTGGCTTGGCTGTTGGCCCGGGCCCTCTTGAGCAGCTCCTCCTGACCCGCCTTCACTTGGGCCTCTTTAGCGCCCCACGCCTGGACAAGAGGGGCGACGTTAAGCTTTATATCAGGGTATTATTTATTAACACCAATATTAATCATAATATAGAGACGAAATAAACCCGATATCCAAGAATGTTTACTCGTAATAACGGGGCCAAATTGTTCCCGTATTTAGGGCGACGACAGGGCTAGAGCAAAAGCCCAAAATTTAGTGTAAATTACCTTCTGAGGTTATTTTTAATTCCTATTTAATTCTAATTTAATTTTAATAATCAATATTTAATTGTTAATGCAAGAGAAAAAAATGATTAAATACTAAAATTAGCCTCATTCATACGAGCGTAGGAATATAAGGCAGTATAGCAGGCGTAGGAATACATCGCAGTCACGACACATAAGAAGCACCGCATGAAAAACTAGTCACCTTAATGGCGGAGGCTTGAAGAGCGCGGCCGTAGCTAAAGGTGAGCGCCCACGGCTTCTTGGCGATCTGAAAGTAAATCAAATTATTGAAACAACATATATAAGGTTTGAAAGTCCGATTATTTATGAACAACTTCTTCCGAACTATACCCATGATCGTAAATTAATTTAGAACTCCAATGAGCAATTTTTTTTTTCAACAGATAATTGAAGATCGAGTATTTTTTTCTCGTCTTCAACAGATAATTAAAGATCCAGTCCTCCTTTCTTTTCTTACAAAAATCTTGAAAAATATGACACCTTTAAAAGAATATTTCACAGAATCACAGTAGATGACGGACGAGAAAAAGGCTCAAGGTGGACAAAAAAATATAACTCAGTTCTCACTGCAGTGAGTGACAGAGAGCGCATTTTCTCGTCGACGAAAACGTGAAGTCACGGACGGACAGACAGACGGAGGGACATGGCGAGCACAATAGTGCATTTTTTCATAAATGAGAAAATACGCTAAAAAAGGCTTACGGTGGTGCGGTTGATGGCGTCCAGATGGACGGTGGCCTCCTCTTCGCTCTGGCCGCCGGACAGGAAGCACACGCCGGGCATCGCTGGCGGCACCGTGCGGGACAGCGCCAGCACCGTCGCCTGTACCACGACATCCGTCAAAATATGTACGACAACTTGGAGAATACGACGTACGATGTGAGTAAATGGAGAATACGACGTAGGTACGATATGACTAAATGGAGAATATGAGGTACGATATGAGTAAATGGAGAACACGACATACGATGTGAGTAAAAATATGTGCTACAACATCGGTCAAAACACGGTTGATAATATCAGTCAAATGACGAACGACAACGTAAGTCAAAATTCGTGCGTCAACTTGGGGAATATGACGTACGACCTGTTTCGTAACACATACGAAATATTGGAGAAAACAAGTACGACAATATCATTCGAAATGTGTACAACATCATGATCGAAACACGCACAGCAATCTTGATTCAAAACACGCACGACAACTTGACGCACGTACTACAGCATCATTCGAAACTCGTACGACAACATCAGTCAAAGCACGTACGACACAACATGTCACACATGTAAGACGAAATTGCGTAATAACATGAAAAGTTACTCATGTTGCCTAGGCGTTTAAACATTACACAGATGCCGACGCTGCACGCATTGCTGCCGGCAATCCACTCACAGCTGCACGCACGACTAAAGCACAACATAATTGGAGCAGCGAGTTGCGTGTACGAGACTACAACTAGCTGTAAATATTCTGCAATGTTACGAATCGGCGACAGGCCTAAGGCCTAATGAACGCTGACACCGCCTTACTTATAAATATTTTTAGAAACTTGGCCGTGTAACGTGCGTGCGATGAAAATTGTGTAGAACTTAACATAAGCGGACCACATCAAATGCATTCAAGTATTATAAGTGGACCGTGTCCTATATTATATTATAAGTGGATCGTGTCCTATATTATTAAGTGATAAAGACATACTTTATCCTATGTCATTAGTAACACAGACGTAGTAATTTATACAATCAAGTAACATGTACAGACCTCCGCAGCCTGCTGTGGGGTGTACTTCTTAGGGCAGGATTGGCCGGCCAGCACCATGTTGGGCTTCAGGAGCGAGCCCTCCAGGAAGACGTGGTGATCGCTTAGGGCTTTGTAGGTGAACGCCAGCACCACCTCCGTCACCTTCTGCGCCCTCTCCAGATCGTGGGCACCGTCCATCAGAACCTGGAAGTTCATGTAACTTACTACAAATTCTAATTATTAACAATAGTCATAGCTGAAAAATTATAAATCAAGCTATCTATGCTCTCGTGTCTTTTGGAAATCATTCTTAATTTTCGTGTCTTTTGGAAATCATTCTTAGAACGAATTCCTTCTCGTTAGTGCTACGGTGAGCACAATGTCGTTCATCGGACAAATTAAGCTGAAAACAATAATTTTTTCAATTTTAATGAAATATTCAAGCCGCGAAACACACTTCCTCTTCCTCGAGAATGGCCACGATGATATTTCGCAGGTAAATACAACGCGCACTCAAAATAATTTTTTTAATATTCTTTATTTTTTCATACCGAGAAGACTTTACAGCTCTCGCAACAATAACACGAGGCTATTACATTTATATCTAGAAATCTACTTCTTCCCAATTTTCTGCACATACCTATTTCCCTATACCTAGATAGATAAACGAACTTCAAAATCTCACGTCCCTCTCACAAATGGGGATAAGATTATTATAAGATAAGCCAAATCCAAGTCTAACCTAAAAATATTCATTTTTTGAACTTCCTGAATGCAAACTAAGACCTCCTCACCTCGAGCTCAACAAGGTCCGGTGCCATTCATTTCATTCGAATTATTTTATAAGATTAGAGTTTATGAAATCGAGACGCCATATTCGCTGGACGCGATAGAATGATAGTCACTGAGTCAGCGTCTGTAAAATCACGTGCGCAAGACCGCACTCTGTGGGCGGAAGTACCGAGTCCATAAAAGGGCGGGACACTTCAATGAGTCGGCACCTTAATACTGTCTAAAGATAAAGTGCCGACCGAACATAGGATTTTCCTTCCTGACAACAATATACACAAATCTCTTCTTAATTTCCTAATGATGTTTAGGTCTTAAATATATGCCCACTTTCAGAGTTCACTTCGGGTTCGATAATCTGTACCGAGGTCGTTTTACTGGAATGAACTCTTCACCTCCCTCTCGAAACTATCCATAAAACCTATTTTTGCGAATTTATTTAACCCTCTACCGCCTGACAAGAGTAACCGGAGCAATATTGTCACAAGCCTACTTCCCAAAAAGGATACGTTCAAGTGAGCGCAAAATGACTTGCACTAATGGTTGCCGCCACGTACGACAACTTTAAAATGTTCTCTGCTGTGTATAAACGTCCTCAAGTTGCTACACTCAATAGTTTACGTATAATTTAAGTTGAAAGTTACTTTAAAATGTTCTCTGTTGCGTACAAACGTCCTCAAGTTGCTACACTCAATAGTTTACGTATAATCTAAGTTGAAAGAGTGCCATAGTCTTCCATACATGATCTCGGAGAGTGCCATACGGCGGTAGAGGGTTAATATTTTCACACTAAGAACCACTGACCTCGGGCTCGACGATGGGCACGAGGCCGTTCATCTGGCAGATGGAAGCGTATCTGGCAAGGACGTTAGCGTTCTCAGCGATGGCGTGGAAGCTGGGGGTGTTGGCGCCGATCTTGAGAACGCAGCGCCACTTGGCGAAGTCGCAACCATCCTTCTTGTACTGCGCGCACCGCTTTCCCAGGTCGTCCAGACCCTGCGTCGTCGACTCCTCTTCTGAACCCATTAGAGGAACCACGCCCTGGTCCACCTGGGGCAGTAGGTATGGTTAAGAACCCATAAGGAGAACCAACCACCTAGTCTACATAGCGTAGTAGGTTTGGTTAAGAACCCGTAAGGAGAATCAACCCCCTGGTCCACATGGGGCAGTTGTTAAATAGTTAAGAACCCATAAGGAAGAACCAACCGCCTGGTCCTCATGGGGCAGTTGGTATAGTTATGAGCCCATGAAGGAACTGACAGTGATCCCAATGACTCACTTCTATGCCCATGACCCACCTTGATGCCCGGGATGATGCCCATGACCCACCTTGATGCCCGGGATGATGCCCATGACCCATCTTGATGCCCGGGATGATGCCCATGACCCACCTTAATGCCGGGGATGATGCCCATGCGCTTGATGAGGTCGACAAAAGGCGTGCCGTCGTCCGCCTTCTGATAGAGCGTCTCGTGGTAGAGGATCACGCCCGACACGTAACTGGCCAGCTCCTGGGACATCATAGTCATCACGATACGTCATGTTCATCATATCCATCATGTTCATCATAATACATTATATCCATCATAATCATCATAATACATCATGTTCATCATAATACATCATGTTCATCATAATACTTCATGTTCATCATAATACATCATATCCATCATAATACATCATATTCATCATAATACATCATATTCATCATAATACATCATGTTCATCCTAATACATCATGTTCATCAAAATACATCATATCCATCATAATACATCGTGTTCATCATAATGCATCATATTCATCATAATACATCATGTTCATCATAATACATCATGTTCATCATAATACATCATGTTCATCATAATACATCATATTCATCATAATACATCATGTTCATCATAATACATCAACAAGGCCTAACCTTGTCACTGGTGAACAGCAGCTGTCTGTACTTGCGCCTGTTCTCCTCGGTGTTCTCAGCGCCTATCGCCTGCAGGCGCTTGCCCATCGTGCCTGTGGACTCGTCTGCCGCCAGGATACCTGCACCACAACAACATCAATATTTACTATTATTAATATTAACAATAATCATTAATATTACCATTATTATTATTTGATATTATTCATTAATCATTTATAATAATCAGTGCACTGAGTGAAATAATTGGGGATTTCAACAAGTAAAAAGACGCACGTTTTTTTTTTTTTTGTCATTCTGGCGCAGTTTGAGTTACCCTACAAAAAAAATGCGTATCAGTGCTACGGCTGAGGAGAGAAAGCGTGTCGCTATAAGGACACAATGACCCATACATTTTCTGAGCGTGAGATCGATACAATCATTGAGAGTAGTGAGGCCATGACATGTGATTAAAATAATAATCAATATAATCAGCACCACTTCACCCACCATGGCCAGGCCTGACGATGGCGTTAGCGATGCGACGAAGCTCCTCCTGCAGCGCAGGCTCGGGGTACGAGAAGTGCGTCGTCATCGTCACTGCAACAGACCAGGTTACTAGGCACGTCAAGAGGCCAATAAAGACATGTCAAGAGGCCAATAAAGACACTTCAAGAGGCCACTAAAGACACGTCAAAAGGCCACTAAAGACACGACACGACAAGACTCAAGAAGTCGCTAAAGACACGTCAAGAGGCCACTGAACACAAGTCATGAGGTCACTAGCGTCACAAATGACAACCACCAGCGTTAATTATCGTGCATGCGAGATGTGATGCAGTCAAGTTAAAGGCGCTGGTCCGATAACACTAGAGATAAGAACCTTATCAATGCGGTAGACATAGGAGGTCTTGACGAAGGACTAAATCTACAGAGACGGTTGCAGATAACGAGGGACGGTCCTAAAGCGGGACTAGATCACGAGGGACGGTCCTAAATTAAGCGGGACTAGATACGAGGGACGGTCCTAAAGCGGGACTAGATCACGAGGGACGGTCCTAATGCGGGACTAGATACGAGGGACGGTCCTACAGCGGGACTAGATCACGAGGGACGGTCCTAAAACGGGACTAGATCATGAGGGACGATCATATAGCGGGACTAATGTAGATCACGAGCGACGGTCATTTATAAATAATTACAAATATACGATCGGTTGGTAGTTGCGATCACCGCAGTACGTGGGCACGTGTTACGATCAGCATGGAGTTACGATCACCGCAGTACGTTGGCACGTGTTACGATCAGCATGGAGTTACGATCACCGCAGTAAGTTGGCACGTGTTACGATCAGCATGGAGTTACGATCACTGTAGAATATGTGCTGCCTATGTATGCAGGGAAGCGCACTTCAGAACCGGTCGACTGTAGGGTCCTGTTGCTAGGCGCAGGCTGTCCACGTTACGTGCTTCAGGCCACGTAACGAATTGACATAACATTTGTGTCTTAATTAATACACAACGATCATAATTAATACCCAACACAGCATCTTGAATTGCACGCAAAACGTCTCTCAATTACTACCCAACAACGAATATTTACCATTTTGCACGAATATGTTTTAACTCTATATACCAAAGATGTTTGGCAACTGTTACGTGACAATGTACCTATTTGAAGTAGTACGTACCAACATATCCTAACTACTGCGTAGTTCGTCACAGAGTTTCTCTATCGCGGCATAACGTGCCTGTACTGCGCACCTCGCAAAAGCATAGCTATTACATGTGATTATGTGAAGCACCATATAGGCATATAAGTAAATACTAAATTATTTTGCACCAAAAAACATGTTGCTTTAGTTGACACTACAATATCACGCACACTAGTCCACATTTCTGTTTTAATTATAAGTGAGTGTGAATTATTCGCGAATAATTTTTAGTCATAGCTTTCGTGGACACTGGCACAGCAACTGAGATTCCATCGAGAACGAAATAGACTCAATGAACTGGGATGCGCAGCAGAGTTCATTCGATATATTAGTCACGACTCACGACGTTATATCATGAGTGTAAAAGCATTGTAAATACTACATAGTAAACAAAATATCTGATAGAGTGCAGTTACACAACACGTAGGTACTGCACACGGTAATTGTAGTGTGGCATTTAAAGAAGTCTAATATCAAGGCTTTTCCATAAGCTGGTTCTTACAGCGCACAAGCCGAGTTAGGGAACTAGTTTCACTTCAACTTTTTGATATTACACAGGCTAAATTCACAACTTTTCTGCGTTTAGATAAAATCACTCGCATTTATGGAGATTAACACGAATAGAATCCACTCTATGTATTGTTTTGCATTATATTACTCACCGAAAGAGAGAAGTTAGTGAGGAGCACTAGCGGCACACACCCAGCCTCGACGTTAGTTGTCAAGCAACAGACCCGGCACAGCTCGACGGCTGACGCTGGGCGCCTGTGAGTGGCCAGACAAGGACAGCAGCACCGCACACCTGACTCCTCCGCGTACATGGCCGTGCCATACGTACACGTGTATATGACTCAAATGTAAAGTTTTAGCATGCAATACAGTGACGCAAACACACGTATAAATGACTAGAATGCTAGTTTTTGCATGCGCGGCCATGCCTCACTCAACCTCACACAGCGACAAGTGTCCGTGAGGTCCACTCACACTCGTGTAAATGATTCGAATGCAAGATTTTGGCTTGTACGCTCGCGCCTCACACACATACACAACACACACACGTGTACACACTTGAATGAAGGGTTCTTATATGCATGGCTATGCCACACATACACGTGTAAATGCCTTGAATGTACGTTTTTTAGCAAGTACGGCTATTTTACACACACACGTGTAAGTAAGTTCTTGAATACAAGTTTTGTTGGATACCAATCTGTAAATCTTAACTTCAAACTTGACTATTCTCATACCAAAAAGTGTTTTACTATATGTATTTTCTTTAATTGTAATCAACGAGCTAATAAGATGCCACGTATATTGCTAATGAGTTCCATTTCCATCAGTTCATCAATCATGTTATTAGGCAAGTGCGTCGAAGCCACATAAATCGATTTAAAAAATACTAATTCCCTTTACTTGATACTTTCATAAGAATCATTATACAGTAAATAATGATGATCGAACTTTAATTTTTGCAGGTTCACATAATTATTTTATAAAAATTATATCGCTTTCAAAATTTTACCAAAATTCTTATTCGGTTCAAGTTATCAGGGCACATCGTTTCTATTGTAGAATGGGGAAGTCTCACGTCCTAAGGAGGTGACTCAAGTTTCACTGACAGTACCCGTCAATACTGTTATCTTAACACATATAATACGGAATAAACTTTCAAAACCGATAAAGATAAATCGGCAAGATTAAACTGACTCGTTGAACTCCTGAGATGCCGGTCGGAGAATACCACTGCAGGCCCAGCTTCGAATGGACTCATAGAATAGAATTGTCGGCACTGAAGAAATAGGCTCCCTTCTCTCAAGAAAGTAGCCTCCAACACTTCGTATCTCGCCAGTGCATCGAATCAGCCCACGGTCGAACGGGGGCCACTCATTGAAGGACGCTAGATTTTGGAACTAAACGTATATGCTTATATATAACTTATTATTACTTATATATCTGAAACCTAACCTCAGACGCTGTGAGCTAAAAGCTACGTAATTCAAGGATGCCCCTGAAGTCATATTTGATCCGCGGCCTGGTTTCATGCAAGTTAGGTTTTGCGTTCGAGTGCGCAGGCGAGTTCGTATAAGTGTCGAATTGGTCTCTGACGAGCTAGGCTGATTGGAGGCAGTCCGCTGTACGCTGGTTACATTTCGAGCTATAATCAGTGTGTGAAGTGATGTTTCGATATAATATTCAGTGGTTTATGATATTACACGCTAGGCTATTCGCTCCCGTGTATGGTGGTGCAAAACTTATGATATTTAAAACAAAATAATGTCATAGGCTGGTTAATGACGGCAGGTATAATCTACGACTGATTGGTGGTCATACAGAAATATGCTAGGCGTTCCATTCAGGGCTAATTGGTGCACAAAATTAGTGCAGTACCAAAGTCATTTACCATATTTTTTTGAGAAGTAAAGAATATTGACAGTATTTTTAGCAGTTAACAGATCGTTACACAACAAAAAAAAATTTTTTTAGTAGTCTTAAGATCAGGAAAGTACATCAAAAAGTATTTGAGTCAACAGCTGCTGCGGCTGCCTGATACGTGATAAATTTCATGATCTGATACCTCATTATGTTCACCTCTTTAAAGTTTTCCACCCGATTCACTTATTGTTTATTCCAATAATATTACACAAACCCATCATTCTCATTTTCGCAGATTGAAGGTCAATAAAAGTTTTCGGTTCAGAATTAAGGAAGTTCGATATAATTTAATTACGCATCACAGAACAAGAAATGTGAGCTACATGGATCATAGACAGCCCTCTGGAAAATGAATGAGTCTCTGAGTGGGTCACCCTGAACCAGTTTACCCCTGACAAAAGGGAGTATCAGTGCTATGCGTGGAAAGCGTGTCACTTTACGGACAATAACCCATTAATTTTTCTGAGTGTATGTCCAAATAGCGATGCATCTTATGCACTTTTGTGGGTCATCATGACCCATTTTAGCTCAGTAAAAGCACGTGTATCAGTGCTATACGTCCGCTCTCAGTGCTCGTGGTGCGGATAGGAAAGCGTGTCGCTATTTGGACAATGTGATCCACCGAATTTTCTGAGATTATTATAGCAAATAAATATTCATATTGAGAACATGCGAGAATAAGCGAATACCGAGCCTGTGGCTGCCCCGGAGTGCAATGAATTTATTACATATTTAGAATTCTATTACAGAATACCTAATTAAATCTATATAATTATATAATTATCATTTTTCGATAATTACCGTTATATTAATAATTAAATTAATATAACTTATGTTTATATTTCTAATCTGATTGGCGGAAATTTATTCCTGGCTTCAAATTGATATTAATAATGATTAATAAAAATATTGAAGAACTGAAGGACTACTTTTGGAACTTTTTTTTCTTGTCACTCAAGCAAATAAATGCTTCTTTGGAACTCCGAAATTTCATTTTTAGTATCACGCGTACACTCAGGGTATAGTACAATATAAATAGAACTACCTGTATAATTATAGACTTATAAATACTTATAAATACTGATTAATAGTTATGGGAAAGAGACCAGGAAATACCACACCCACTACATCAGAAAATATATTCTGGAATAATGTTTCATATTTCGTAAATAAAATAACATACCTGTACGTCTTAATACTCATAGATTTGGTCCAAAGTTAAATGCAGATCATTATAAATATGTTACGTTGGTCGTACATCCTACGATGGACGTAGGACGGCAGGGGGACGGTCTACTGCAGGACGGCAGGTGCGTCCCCCGAGGCGCCCAGGTCGTCCCTGCCGGCGTGGACGACGACGGCGCGTCCCAGCACAGCGCGGTCCCCGTACAGGGTGACGAGGGCGTCAGGGGAGTGAGGGGAGTGAGGGGAGTGAGGGGTGTAAGGGGAGTGAGGGGAGTGAGGGAAGTGAGGGAAGTGAGGGGAGTGAGGGTAAATGAGATGGGTAAGTAAAGTCAGGTTATCTATTATTAATTCATAACGTCTATAATAAGTAAGAGTGGGTCAGCGTGACCCACCTGTACCCTGGCGAGGGTCGACGCCCCCTGCTCGACGCTCCTGATGTTGCCCAGGTCCCCCACATGGCGCTGGTCGCTGTCCTGTCCCCCGTGGGGCTGCCCGTCGGGGTTGTAGTGTTTGCCCGCGTCCTTACACCGGCCCCCGTTAGCCCCAAACTCGTGGATGTGGAAGCCATGTTCCCCCACGGTGAGACCTGCACACAGGGAAATGTATGGGCTAATATCATACTGTACACTTGCTTGAAAATTTCAAAAGCAAAGAAAAATTCCACAAAAATTCATGCTACCTTCAAAGAAAACGTTCAGGAGTCCAGCTCTATCGTCAGTTTGAAAATTCTAGAAACTGTCTATCCGAAACGTTTTCTTTAGTCTCCGAAACGTTTTCTGGATCCGAAACATACTGCGAAACGTTTTCTTTAAAGATAGTACGAATTTTTGAGGGGGTTTTCTTTGCTTTTAAGTTTTTAGTGAATTTGCGATTCAAGCAAACGAGTGACATTATTGTTTGAAATATGATATCTGGAATTCTGAGAGTGAGACCTACAGAATAGTGACATACTACAACGAGGGGTAGACTGTGCAGGATTCTCCTATTCAATAACCGAGCCGCGGCCAGAGTACAGACTTTTCATGAGGGATCACTGTCCGTGGTAGGACCGAGGCGGTTCAATGCCTCGCCAAAAGTGCTGAGAGGAGGGGAGTTTACCTTTGGGATATTCAAGAGACAACTGAACAGCAGGGCCAGGGAAAGATTCCGGATTGTCCGGATTGTTTGAGAAAGATTGGGTATTGTCCGGTAATGGGCCACTAGTCAGACTACCTTCAGTAAGTGGCAAGCAACAGCATTTTGCCTCGTCTGGCTTGAATGAAGGCATCAGCTGGTCCAACTGAGGGCATCAGCTGGCCCAACTGAGGGCATCAGCTGGCCCAACTGAGGGCATCAGCTGGCCCAACTGGGGGCATCAGCTGGCCCAACTGAGGGCATCAGCTGGCCCAACTG